CATACACTTGTCACGCTATGTCCCAAGTAATTGAAGTTTATCTTGGATGAGTAACGGAACGATAAAAGGAAGCCACACACATGTGGCAGAAATAAGCGGAATGGTGTTTAGCCGACCTACCCGCAATTGAAGAGAAGCCAAGCCGTACAAGGGACTTCAAGCGTAGTGTAAGTTGCTTGCTACCAGCTACAAGAAATGGAAATCGAACGAACTGCCTGCTACTGAGGAACAACTGGCCTTAAACTTAATTGAAACCAATCCAAATGCTATGTTCGTAACTATGTGTTGCACAAATTGATAAAGTGCTTCGACGCTGGCTCCACCCTGATATGTTTACACGCAGGTTCCCTGCGAAGCAAAACAGAATGAGCACAGACGGAGCGGCCCGACTCGCTTAGATTCGTCAGTCGTCTGGAGCACTTTGTACTTGCGAGGAAATGAGGAACGCGTTTAGGGAAGCACATGTATTCCCCAAATAACCGTTCAGTCAGCTGACCGAAAACCACCCCTACTTGTAAAGTAAGCCGTGCATTCAATGTTGAATTTAAGGAACACACTGTGTGGTTGGGTGGTGGAGATAGCCTGAGCTGGGGTGGAACTCAGAGCTCAGTAGTTCACGACGGACGCCCTAAACACTATGCTACTGAGATCCGCGAGCAACGTTTGGCAAGGCGGAATGCAATTCAAACTTGAATTTAGCGAACATGCTGTGTAGTTGGGTTGCGACTTTCAACCTCTATTAAGACTTCAGTTCACTTTGAGGTCAACCTCGGTCATTCCGATCGCAAAGACCATATCCGGAATGGAAATATTTAGGTATTACTCCTCCCAAGACTAGCACACAACGACCGCTGTTTCAATGGAACAATGGAACAATGGTATATGACGGGTAAAAAAGCACACACTTAACGAGTCCCGCAGGTTGGCAATAGAAATACTAACAAATTGGCAAACCACATAAGTGGTTGAAGTAAGGAGTGTCAGTGAGATAAAAGGTAGAAGTATAACAGTTTTAGGGGGATAAAGTGGTACGACGCAAAACTGGCTAAGAAATTGTTATCGTTGGTGATGGTAGCAAATAAAAATGGAGTACTCATCGGTTGGCACAGATTTACGACCGTGAATTTGGGGTATAAATCCAAAGAGGCTGGTCAGCCTAAATATATACAAGCGTTTTCGTTCATAAAACAAAGCGCAGGGCGCTCAGTGTGAGGTCCAATCGTTTTTTAAACGTATCTAATGTGGGGGCACAAACAACTGAGTTTGGAAGGGCGTTCCAGGGCCCGCAGACCCGGAGGGAGAAATAGGTTCTCCGACAGTCTAGACGACTGTACTGTTGGCTCAGCTTTAAACTGTTGCCGCGAAGGTTAGTGTTCGGGCTGAGCTTCAAGAGGTGGCGGCATACGTGACTGGGATCGCTCAATATCTGGTACACTAGTATGAGGTCTCCACGAAGTCGCCGGTACCGTCCGCTGAACACTCCGAGTATCTCCAGACGTTCCTGGTAAGGAGTGTGGCACAAGCCCTTGACGATTTTTGTTGCTCGACGCTGTGGGGTCTCAAGCGCTGCAAGGTCACGTTTTAGCCAGGGTTGCCAGGCCTGGATTGCATATTCGACGTGAGGACGCACGTGGGCATTCAGCATCAAAGAGAAGATGGATGGATCCAAAATTCCGAATGCTCTTCGCAGGAGTCCAACGTGCTGCTTGCCCCTTTTAGAAGCGGAATCTGACTGGTTGGAACACCCGAGGTCTTCCTGTACCAGCACACCCAAGTCGCGTTCCTGAGTGGTGGTCTTCAGATCGTGTGCCCCAAGCTTGTAGACGTGGACTTGTCGATGGCGGATATGAACAACGCGACATTTGTTCACATTAAACGGCAGGGCGTTTCTCACCGACCAATTCCAGGCCTCATTCAAGTCACGCTGTAGGACTTCACGGTCGTCCGATCGTATTATCGCCCGCCAAACCTTGAGGTCGTCCGCGAATAGTAAGAATTTCGAGATAGCCTGAGCTGGGGTGGAACTCAAAGCCCAGTAGTTCACGGCTGACGCCCTGAACACTATGCTACTGGGATCCGTGAGTGAAGCTTGTGGTGCATCCACGACGCGAGCCCATACTTCAGACAAACGCCAGATGCATTAGGGACCAATTGGAATAAACTCTTCTCATGATGTTTCCAAGACGACGACAGTATAATAAATATCCCACATCTCTTCTATGCGTACGATGTCTGTTATTTGCGAATGGCGCGGTCGTCTATGAGATAACGTAACCGACTCTACAGAAACACAAGCGAAATTGATGGCTTTACCCAAATTATCCATCGTCTGCTTACCAGGTATTTGAGGACCACTGGTATCCAATGCAAGTAGAGGCTGCAACTAACCTCGTAGCATCGGACAGAGATATCGAACCTAGGTTACACATTGCCACACGGCGACGCTCAACTTAAATATTGAGATTAACGACCGATTGCTGCGATTTCTTGACTGGGCAGAGCTTAAAATCGTATGCTAAAACGCCTAGGAGTAGTCAGCACATAGTATCATCGGTTACCAAACGACCTGATCATGGTCTACAATATCTTGCACGTGTGGCGCTGTTTACTGCAACTTAGCAATATCACCCATCTAAGAGATCATTCCTCAAACTGACAGCACCATGTAGCTACTTGGATGCCATTCTGGGAAACGCAACCCCCCCTGGAGTAAATCATATCAGCACTGATACTAGCCATTTTTTAATAAGGTTGAGTGATGTAGCCAATCACCTACATGTTGTCACTTGGCAGTATAGATCACAGGAAAAATATCGGATTTATTATCAATCACCTACTCGGGCAGGGAAAGCACGACCAGAGTGAAGCTACTGCGTTACTCTTAGATACAAACTACAGATTTTGCTTTTGCCACTAGCAGAATTCACTGTTTACATTTTTCAACGGTTTTTGCTCGTGAGACCAAGAAACCTAGTAGGGCTTGTAAAGTAATATTTCTTCAATCACACAAAGTCACTGTTTATCGTACCAAATCTGCATTATGCCGGGATCAGACTACCCGCCGTCACAGTGCCACTTAGATTGCGATTTAATACCAGGCTCACCCTGTTTTGTGGGACCTGAAGGTGCGTTGGTTACATCTTTAGTCTTTAGTGCACATGCGAGAAGCGATGCCAACGATAGAGCTCCCTCGGCGACCTAAGTGGGTACTGGTGATGGGACCTACCAATTGCGAGGCCGGCAAGCAATGTCTCCTCCCAGTTCTAATATATGCAAAGGCATTAACCGGGCTCCTAGGTTTAAGTAAGCCTTTCTTGCAACAATGATTTTCCTAAGTACCAAGGTTTCTCACTTTTAGATTATTAGACGGGTGCTCGGGTCTCGCACCTAAGGTCCTGCTTCTTGTCAGTCTGCATAATTTCTAAATGTTGATTATGAGAACGTTTGTTGTGCTTTTACACATCTTTCGCTCAGGTAACGGCGCTTTCATTAAGAACATTCATCGGTGCTCTTCCCAACACTGGCTTCCCTCGTTTGGACCCATCAGGTGAAGATAGCCTGAGCTGAGATGGAACTCAGGGCGCAGAGGTTAGTGGCTGTCGCCGAGTACTGTGCCACTAAGCTCTATGCGCAACGCTTGGCACAGCGATAAGCAATTCCAAGTTGGATTTGGAGTACACGCCGTGTGGTTGGATTGCGACACGCAATCTCCATTGAGGCCTCAGTTCACCTTGAAGTAGATCCCGGTCATCCGGATCAAAAGGATCGTATCCGAAATGGAAGGGTTTCGGTGTTGATACTCCCAAGACCGCTCATGGTCAGTGTGAGGGGGAGCAGCCCCTTATCACTCCAATTTCGGATACGTTTCTTGGGAGCGGAATGACCGAGATCTACTTCGAAGTGAACCGATGTCTCAATAGCGATTGTGAATCGTAACCCAACCGCAAGGCGTGTACACCAAATTCAACTTGGAAAACATTCGTTCTCACAGCTTGGCGCAAACGTGTACAAACGCGCTTTATTTGGTGACACATGTACCGAACTAGATTTCGGAAGAAAATTACAGCAGAAAATAAGCAACCTTCTACAGCAAACTACGAAATGGTGCGCCACCTGACAACCCCACGGACCGAATGCAAACATGGACTGAAGCAGCGCAGACCACCTCGACGGTGTGCACACATTTTCATGCCTTCGCACAATTCGTTTGCGAACCATGACTTGCTCGTCAAATGCACCACCGCACAGCCGCTGCTATACTGTGGCAGGTGCACCCAATGCGAGTAGCCTTGAGAACTTGTTTTGCCAATCAGGATCCAGCACATCAGGACCTACCAGCTCTCTTAGCCCCAGCAGCCAATCGCGCAGGAGGTTCGACAAAGCAGTTTCAACCACGTCCACTCGAACGGACGCACATCCAAGCGCTCATGAAGGTGCAATTCGCATTTCGAGTTGGAGAGACGATGGGCGCTTCGGTCCAGTGCTACGTACACATTTCCTGACTTGCGATAGTGCCGTCATTCGCCGCCTGCTGCGCCATTGGTTCTGTCATCGGAAGAAATGCATAAATTCTAGCACAGGTCGGCATCGCATTGGCTTTGTCGTGTTCGTTAGAGGTCGCGATGCCCTGTAAGTCATGTGTCTTCGTTGTCTCCCTCAAAAGCTTTTTAGTCTTGCATGTTGCCACTAAGGCGCGCTGCTTTTCTGTCCTCAAGCTCGTTCCGGGAAGCAAACGGTTTACACTGATGGAAGCCGTACTGGTACCGGTCGCGCCGGCGCTGGAGTATTCTGGGGTCCACGCGACTCGAGGTAGGTCTTATTGTACATATGTGAACTTGCTAGAAACTTGTCAAATCAACTACCTGGAAAACAGACGGCTCTATCTGCTGAGATAAAAGTGAGTGAACCAACCTCAATGGCCCGGCTGCCTCCAATCTCGCAGCTTGTGCGATTTCCGCTGTGCTTACGCTTGCGCTAGCAAGCTTCATGTTGACGCACTCATGACGTTTTGTCTTTGCTCTGACGCTTCTTGTCTACCATTTCAGGCCGCTGAAAAAGCGATACGTCAGGCCGAACGTTCTAATGTGGCCAAGTTATGTGTTGCTACCGACTCTAAAGCGGTAGTCCATCATGCATCGGGCTCGAAAATGTCCGGTGTTTCGGCACCCACGCGAGATGCGATCAAGGGCTTGCAAGGAACGTTAGCGAAAACACCAGTGGAGGTTAGCTGGGTGAGTATGGTTCGATCTCGTGTGAACACCCACGCGTTCCCTCATTTCAGTCTGGTAGCGTAAATGTTTGTGATTGCTTGTGACACAATGCTTGGGAGCATGGACAATCAGCGCCGCGAGTATTTGCGTTTATCGGCTTTGCGGAGAAGCCATCGCCGAGCGCTCGAATCGAGATGGTTTTTGTTTATATTCGTCGTCCAAGCAACACATTGACCTCAGAGAGACTTCATGTGATCGTACGTTCTCTGTACGCGATTTTTCAGTGATCCGCAGGCAGGTGGAATGTCTTAGTTTTTTTACCGTCAGAGACTATGTGTCGCTTAACTACCTTGCTTCTCACCGCTATGTTTTATTACTTGAATTGTTCGGAATGAGGTTTGGTCAACTCCAAATATTTTCAGACTTGTCGTACTATCAAGGCCTTTTTGTCCCCTCGAAGGACCTGCTGTCCTCCCTGAAACTGACACCTGGTTTTTCCTTACACCCCATGTCCACAGTGGCAGTGTGTTAAGTCGTGCATCTTTAATTAGCTCATCCTTGACGTACCATCTTCCTGACTTTGCTCTTCCAGAAGGTGGTCGAAGGACACTCGGGCATCCCTGGGAATGTGCGCGCGGACCATCTGGCAAAGGCGGGCGCGGGCATAGCCAAATGACGCGTGCATTTAGGTTGTCCTATTTTTACTGTGTTTTAATAGACATTTAGATTACTACCTGTGTATTTTGCTTGCTCCGTGTTGGGTCGTTACGTCGGGTACACCCTAGTGCAATATCTCCGTCCCCCTGCCTCACTTGCCAATAGCATGACGGAGGGGATAGATAAGTAAATCAGGTTTCCTTGCGGTGCGTTGCGGTGCATATAGCTAGACATGTCATTTGATGCGATTGGCACAGTATGCCAGACGTTTCTGTGCCCCTGGTGACCCAGTACTGTAGTGGTCGCCGTGACAATGAAGCCTTGGTCGGTTCTCTGAGGTAAACGGACGTTTTGCTGCCAATCGTAATGGCATCTTCAGTGCCTAGTGACTATCTTGTTAGCATGTACTGAGTCTCGGGCAAATCTAGGAATGGATGTCGCGGGCTACAGAGCTGTTCTCTTGCTAACTTGCAAGCGTTCGTAGCCAAACTTTATTCTGATTGGCTTCACCTGTTGGTAGGGTGAGGCTTGCTGCGAAGTGCGACGTAGTCTTGCAATTTCACTGGTGCGAAGGTCATTTTGCTTACAGAACATGCTAACGAGGACATCTCTGTTCGTTTTCCACTCGATGGCTTGTATCGGTTCAAGCCACGGCTTCCAATCCTTCTTACCTTTCAGCTGTTGGTGTACAGGATGATAAAAACGATGATAATGCATATTCTCGGGTTTACTAAGACATGCTATTTGCAGCATGGTGAATTGTTTACAGCTGTTTCGCATAGAACATACAGCTTATTCCATACGTTAGGCAGGAAGCAAAGTATTGTTAACACACATGGATGTCAAACTCAAGGCTCTGTATGGGCACGGTGCGATTCGTGGCGTCCTAGCGGTGAGCCCCATGTAGGAACGGAACTAAGTTTACTTTGGTTGACGTAAGAGGCGCAATTTCATTGCGATGCAAGTAACACTGAAACTGAAGTTCGAACGTATAGGATGTAGCATCCAATTAAGGCTAAAAATTCTATGTAAACTGTGGTGTTCTAAACAGGAGTAGTGAAAGACGGTATTTGTTTTTCCGTTCAGCAGCTGTACATTTGCACAAATGTACTGGATTGTAGGTTGAAAAGCAAGCTACCGGAAAATCTCCTAGCTCCGTGTGGCCAGCTACTGTCCTCTGCAGTTTGTAACTTCATGGCAGTGGAGGATAGGCCGGGCTACATCGTAGTTGTCTGTCAGGCATGCAGGTCTGCGGCCGTCAAACATGGCTCAGTGGCACAAGTTGCTGGTATCCGGAAGTTATGGGGTCGGAACGCAGCTGGGGTCAGATGAAGGCGCACCACTGATGAGACTCAGATCGAAACAGCGATATTCGGTGCTTTACCGAAATTACCCAAAAATCCCGACTGCTTTTTACTGATGCCTTGCTTGAGTTGTAATTTTTCCGTCAATTGCATCCTTGAAGTTGTAGTAAAGGCCATTGACGAAGACTTATTGTTCTGCACCACTGAGTGGCCGGTTGGACAGATAGCTGACCCAGCTAGCATTGGTATCTCGGCATTTATGGCCGGGTAAGTTACACCGTTTGTCCTATGAAGCAGACAAGTTTCTCGCCTTTGTTTTTACTGCTTTGTCATCTATCGCCAAGCTTAACTGTTCTGTCATTTATTAGCATACGATTTGGAGTCGGGTGGATCGGTGTTCAGTCTTTGGTGCTTTTTGGCGTAATTCGTCCATTTCGGAAGAGCTGTGCGTGCAAAGCAACAGTTTTTCTATCACATTAACCGCAGTGAATAATACGTGGGATAACCCTGGTGGCCGTGTGAACTGTGTCAAATGCCCGTGCGATATTAATTCCATAAGAAAACCACAGACAACTGAGAAATAGAACAAAGGTAAGTTACCTGCAAAGCAGCAGTGATTAACAAGTTTAAGTTTAGGTGATGTTAGAACAGTAGCGGTATCGCATGAGTGTTCCTTTTTGATCGTGTCCTTGAGCCAGGAATTGTTGAGGTACTCTGAGCTCTTGTAGGATGTAGAAGGAAACACCTGGATCACCGTGATCAACCAATTACTGACCACGTTTTTTGCAATGGCTAAACATACTGTGGTAGTCACATGAAATATACAAGAAGTAGGAGGAATAGAAATCAAAGATCCAAATCCAGGTGGGTCACTTGAACTGAGGAGGATAATTTCAATGATTGTGTGGAAGTACAGAAAAGAAAATCGTAGTATTAAGCTTGCAGTTAGTCAGGAAAAGTGAATGGTTCCGTATTGCCATCCATGAGCGTTAGATTGACACTTAACTCCCTTGACCGTTGATTCCCAGCCGACAATTTTTGGAAGCATGTTCTAGCCCTAGATGATGACTAGGAGTGACAGCTGAATTTCCGTGCTAATCCGACCGGACCGCGGTTTGTCTAGATTTATGGAATCCCCGCGGAGAACAGGCGATCTATCGGAACTGAATAGCCAAGACAAATCTAGGCTAACCTTCATAGTTAAGATATAGTGGGGTAGGATTAGTTTTCCTCTCAACTGTCGCTAATGCACTGAGTGCATTGCAAAACTAAGCAGATGCTCGGGTAGTTCGTCTCCTTAACCTCTCAACCAAACTAGTACGCACCCGTAAAACTCTCCAGCTCCGGTATGTCCCAGACGTTGAAACATTGTATTTAATGGGAATAAAAGCGTAAGCTTTACATGACCCACACGGTAAAACCAAGTTAGGGTCGGGTCTGATGAAAGGCCAAGCAACCTTTTAGCGGCTTGGACTCGCATGTTAGCCGTATCTTCATCGGGCTTATGCGGCATTTAACTAGAATGCACGTCGGCTCAAAGCGTGACATCCCACCACGTCCTACGAAACGGCTATGGAAAAGAACTAGGTAAAAGAGAAAAATGAAAGAAGAGAAACTCCATCAAATAGAAGGTAGTTGTCTCAGGGAATATCGCGCTGTAGCTTGTGCAGATTACAGTCCAGATGGGTCTTAAAATCCACCACAATAGGTGCCGAGACTAAATTGGCAGACAGAGCATTCCACGGCTAGCAGATTCGCAAAGCGAAAAAGTGTCGACTGCAGTTCAGTCGACTGTACTGTTGTGTGAACCTCAGTAGGTGGGAGCGCGAGTGTGTGAGTTGGTGACACGGCAGGAAGGTCCAGGGTTGGATAAGATCATAAATACAAGGATCACGTCGCCCCGGAGACGTCGGTACTTAAGCCAGTAGAGGCTCAGACAGTGAAGTCGTTGTGGATAATCTAGGTGCTTGAGACTTCTGACCAGTTTTGTTGCTCGACGTTGTGAGGCTTCTGGTACAAGCTGGTCCTTCAGCAACCAGGGACTCTAAGCCTGCATAACAAACACTAAGTGGGGTAGAAGAAAAGCGTTGAGGAGGAGACGGAAATCGCTAGGATCAATTTTACCGAAGGCTCCTTTCAGCACTAGCTGCTTTCCGATAGGAAGTGGATACGGAAAGACTCGTCCGTGTACAGATACCCTAATCTCTTTCGGCCGATGAGATCCGGAAGATAGACGCTCCCAGGAAATATATAGAGGGAAATGCGGGGTGCCGGGTAGAAAGGACGCGATATTTCGTAGGGTCAACTGGAAGGTTGTTTTCTATGAACCACTGATGTAGATGGTCGAGGTCCGTCTGAAGTGGGTGGGCATCGTCCGGAACGTTACTTGTGTGCCACAGCTTCTTATCATCCGCGTATAGCAGCATTGAAGACCCCGCTTGCGGTGTGACGTCATCAATGAAGGCTAGGAAGGGGCCCGGTTCAAGAACAGACCTCTGTGGAGCTCCGCTTGTGGCAAAGATGCGGGCGTACAACGCTCTATCGACGCGTACTTGGACGGTATGGTTTTGGAGGTAGTGCCGGATCCAGTCTATCAAGGACCCTAATACGTCCTAAACCAACAGTTTACGTAGTAGAGGTTGTGGCCGACCTTGTCGAAGGCTTTGGCAAAATCCAGGAATATGACCTGCGTTTCTAGACAATAGTCGGCAACAGTCCTCCAGATATCCCTGGTAAGTAATAGGTTACTCAGGCATGACTGTTGCCACCGGAAGCCATGCTGGCAATCGGAGAGCAGTTTCTGGGCCTCCATGTGGTCTATTAAAGCGTCTGCGATGATCGATTCCATCATCTTGGAGATGGTAGAGAGGAGGGTTACCGCGCGGTGATTGGCCGGGTCTTTGCCAGTGCCGTCATTGTAGATTGCTGTAATAGTCCCACGTTGACAATCATTGGGACCTTGGTTTTGCGAGAAAAAGTGGGTCAACGGCTCCGCTAGGGGCAAACCTAGAGCTGTAGCGCACGCTCGCTGGAGCCTTGGGTGGAAACCATCAGCGCCAGGAGAGGCCGTTAGCCGCAGGGATTTGACTTCCCCCAGACAATTCTCCGGAGTGAACTGAACAGTCGTCAAGGAAGTTGTGAGACCGAGGGGTACTATCGTTCTATACATTGATGGAACGGAGAATGTGCATGCTTACTGCTGACACAGGACTTCTGTTACTACGTTCGCTGACTTTGTGAGCTCTGTGGAGGTCGTCAGCGCGGTGTGGAAGACTGTTGACGTGACTATACGAGGCATTTGGATTGCATGGAAATTTACGCATAAGCTGACACTGACTCTCACTCGTATCTGCGTTCAAGATGGACGCATTGGTTACGGATGAATCGGTAATATTCTCACTGAGAAGCCGTTGGATGGGAGCAATAGTTTCTGCATACCATGTCCCTGGATACAATCCACTTCCGTATCCGAATTCAGATGAGCGCTTGGCTTCTCTTCCCTATGGAAACTTGTTTGCAGGTCCTGGTAGTGGAGAAGAGCTCACATAGAGTAAGGCAAAAGGTCGACCACACGCTGTCGGTACTCGATTGGGCTCGGGTGACCAGCTGTTAGCGAAAATGAATAGGTTCAACTTTTCGTAATCAAGCCAGCGCTTGGTATACGTCGTGCTGAGGGGTATTTCGGTGATGCGTCTAAAGTCGAAGCGAAGGACGCAGTAGTCGCCGAGCCCCAGA